TTATTAGCAGGAGAAGGCGAGACATTTTATTCAGAAAGGTTTGACGGCGTAAATCGGCTTTTGTTCCAGTGACCATTTTTTATGTCTTTCGGTGGTTTCTTTTCGTTGTTAGTTTCTCATCATTATTTATATTTTTTATAAATAATCAACTTCACGTTCGGGCAATTTCTGCGCAAATTCCGATTCTTCTTGCACATTGCTTGGTTTTCTACCAAGAAATAAATGTATCGTAGTTACTTATTAAAACGAATTATTATTGGCATAAATCGTAGTCATTTGTAAAAAATTTTTCCTGCAATTTTTTAAATTCTGCTTTAAGAAATGAACTTATAGCGTATTGGTGTCCATCCAATATTGAGACCTTTTTTATCCTTCGTCACAGATGTTTGATGTTTGATCGAATGTTTTTCACTCGAGCACTCCCACAAAGGAAAAATTTCTTCAACCCCTTTGAACAAAGTATCTTGACCTTAGGCGACTTCTGAAACGAAGGCTTTCAAACATAAAGAAGCAGTTGATCGGCTGCAGAGAAACGAAAAAAGGAACCATCTATTTATGGGTTATGGCATAGGTTTGCCAAAGATTGAAATTGAGACCGCAGGGTTTAGCACACTAAAAGCGAAACCTTATTCTCAAAGGGAGCATTTAGGAGGTCAGCACATTCCCGCCTTATTCAACTGTTGTCAAACATTCTTTTTTTTCTTTGTTCGAATATTGCTGTACTCTTTATAAGGAAAAAAAGGGTTAAGAAATTCATGCATTTGTAGGTTTGTAATAACTTCTAAAAATATACTCAGTTTGATATTTACTCTTTTATTTTTTTTTCTCTTATTTTTATTTTTTCTCTTACTTTTACTTCTTATTTTACTTCTTATTTACTTCTTATTTTTACTCTTTTACTTCTTATTTTTTCTCTTTTTATTTTAATCTAGATTAATAAGAAAAGAATTAGGCAATTGGTGGCATTTTTGCCTCTTCTTCTTCTTCATTTAACAACGCTCGCCGTCTCTCGCTCAGCTGGCTAGTGGAGTGACTATGAAGTTAGATAAGAACAGAAGTACAGGTAGGTAGGTTCCCAGCACCAGTCGATATCGTTTATCCAGCATCTATCGTTTTTTTCAGATGACTGGTTCAACCGTCGATAAATCTTTTTTATTAGTTTCGGTTTTGCGCAAATAATGCAATTTCAATTTCAATTTCCATTGAATTTATTCAGCAGGTTTTATTGAATTAGTTTTAATACGATTATTATCACTTATCTTCTGATATTTTAAAAGCAATTTTTCTCGAATCTCTTATTATTCAAAAAGTTATCAAAAAAGATTTTTAAAAAAAATTCTTTGTTTTTTGAGCTTCCATTCAAACTTTTATATCTTTTTGTTACATTTTATATGAAATGTGGAAAGAATGGTCGAGTGGTATGATGCTTTAATATGGCCAAGGTTCATGGTTCCATTTTGGCAAGAATAAATCTGCTATTGATAGCGAAATCTCAGTATTGCTAGAAATCCATCTATATTTGTTTCTATTACCAGGTGATTCGCGGGTAAAAAATTCTGATCTCAGCCAAACCAAGCCAGAAATGGAAGTTATTGTAACTATTAAATATTTACCGGTATTTAACTAATATAAAGGATCAGTTTCATTACAAGAGCAAACAACTTGTTCGATTATGGCATTGTCTCTTCTTTCATAAACCACAATTTTCTTTTGATGCCCACCTTTTCTTTAATCAAATTTCAATAAATGGGTTAATGATTAATATAATATATTCATATACATTTATGACTTTGCTGGTTGTTTAAATTATGAAGCTGAATAAAAAGTGGACGAAATAGCGAAGTTAGCGAAAATAATCAAAATAATTTTATTGGAAACTGTAAACTCACTACTGAGAGTTCTTCCTTCATTTAATTTGTACAAGGAAATCACATTTCTATTCTTTTTCATATTTCAGACGAATTTTCTTAATTCAAATGTTAAACCATCATCAACCGAACAAATATTTCGATTTTTGAAAATTTAGTTGTTACCCAAAGTATTTTTATTGTTTCCATTATTTAGAGAAATTGGATAAAAAAGAATGGAATTAAACAATTCGATGACTTTACGAAATCTTAAAATGTCGAAAATTTATTTACCTATTTCTCATTTGCTTTTCTTCGCAAATTTTTTTTAGAAATTGCTAGCAATTTTATCAAATGAAAAAATCCTTATATTCCCATTTTCCACGTCTTTATAGTGCACATTCTTTTGAATTACACTATGATTAAATATTTCTGTCATATATGGAAATAGAAATTTGCACTGATTGATAATTCACGGATTTTTTATTATAGAAGCAAAAGTAGTCACCAATATTTCTAAAACAAAATAATTATTTAATAATGTAAATTATTTGCGAAAAATTTCTCAAAATGCTCTTTCATTAATGCGAATAGCACTTCAGTATTCAAGTATTCTGCTGTATTCTATAAGCTGTCAAAATCATTTGCATAAATCGGTTTACATCGTCGAATTCTTTGCGTCTTTTAAAAAATCCAAAACGAACCACTATTATTGATCATTTCAGAGATGTTATAGGGAAAATATCCAGGTTAATCTTTTATTAAAATTTTAAAGTCGTTTATTGCTACAAGTTTTATCTTGAAGAAAATGAATCTTATCATTCAAACTAAAATTCCGATTATGCTTGCTAGGTGTGCATTGGATTTTTACGTCTAATACGGTGGTTTACTGTTACAAATTTTTATAATTTTACATTTTCTTATCAATCTTATTTTCCAGTGGTAATCGGCGAAAACTTTTTTTCGTCAAATTTATTATAATTTTCATAATTTTAAAAAGTTACAATTTCACAATTTTATTCATTTTCCATCCGTTTTTTGAGTAAAGTCATCCGTTTTTTGAGTCAAGTCAAATAATTTTTTCAAAACTAAATAACATTTCGACAAATTTTCTCAGACAATTTTTTAGCAAAAATTCTCATTTAAATTTTCATCAGATTTCTTTCGTTTCAACAATATCTTTCAAGAATAGAAATACAAGTGTATTCCTATCAACAGGCGGATTTGACTATCGCTGACAACAATCAAATCACCATATTTGAATTTAAACTTTTATAATACTCCACCAATAAGTGACTACAATAGATTGAAATGCTTGAGGCGATGATTGGAATTATTGCGTTGATAACATTTGATAACATTAATACATTTTCATGAAAAAAACGATCAAAAAACTTTTTAAAAAGTTCCAGTGGAAAGTTTAAGCATAAATATCGAAAGGAAATAATTAAAAGAGATCAGTCAACTTATTTCAACGCAATATCGTACGGTCAACATCGTGCTTTAACAGTTCTCCTTTTTTTCATTATTTATATTTTGCTGTTTTTTATAAACTGCGTATAGAACTTTCATGTGAAGTACTGGCGGTTTCTCTTTTTTTAAGCCCCTTCAACAAATTAACTTTCATCGAGTTAATGCAGTGATCGAAATAATTAGCTTCATTTCTTTTGCGACCTAAACAACTTTTACCGAGTGTAAATCGATTCTGATGGATAATTTTGCATTATGCTACCTACCATATTGGAATTTTATTGTAAATCAGTATTAAAGATTTCGTTTCTATTTAAACTGGTTGGTTCCATAGGTCATTAAGAGTGAGAGACTCGTGATGATGGAGGTTTATAGCACCATTCAGTTAAAGTAAGACTGCCTCACTTTAACTGATTATATTTTTTTGCCTTGTTTCTTATTTTGGTCGATTGATCTAATTAGTTGCGCAGACGTTTGTTGCATTTTTAAGTCTTCTTTTTCTAACAGTTCTCACCATTACTGGTTAGGCTGGCTCCAATGGTTTAGACAAGGATAAGACGCTTTCAAATGGTGCGATCTAATGCCATCGTCGACAGTAATAGAAGCCATTCCTTTTTCTATCGGCAAAGTCCATATATTTCTGGTCCTATACATTCAAAATCTTTTTTGATCGTATTATTCCAGGTCTTGATTGGCCCACCACGCCACCCATCGCACGGTTTAGCATGGTTTTATCAAATAATGAAATATGCGTCAACTCCTGTGGTTGACGACGGAGGAAGTGCCCTAACCAGCGAAGGCAGTGCTCTGTGAACATCATTTATGCAAGTGGTGCTTGAAAATGGATGCGATCATGTCTTATCATACCTTATCCGCTCGGCGGATCCGTAATATGTAGCTTAGACAAGGGTCAAAGGCATATAACTTCGTAATATCCATTCTCATTCGCTATACGGCAAGATCGAACCAATCGCTGCTATATAGATGCGGACATTCGTTTTTATTTTGCCTGGCCATTTGGTATTAGAGTGGATCCAAGGTATTTAAAATCGGGCACTTCCTCAACCGGCAATGAGGAATTTATGAAAAGAGGCATTTTATCAGCTTCTTGCACATAAGACGAAAAGGCTTTCGCTTTATTTACATTGATCCTGAGTCTGATTCTCGATCCAGTTGCTGACACATTATTTAGCATTATTTGCAATTCATCATAACTGTGAGCAAAAGGAATTATATCACCAGCGTATTCAAGATCTGTGATACGATGCTCTGGACTGATTTGGACACTTTTTGAGTGCCGACAAGCGATGTCCATTATCCATTCTATCACATTGAACATTGTAAGGAAATCTTTAAAACTGTCATATCCCATCATCTTCCAAACTGCCAAAATCGATGAAATATGTAACGGTGGGTAGCAGATATTTGAAGCAATATCCCAACTCTCCTTAACGTGAATATTTGGTCAGCACAACTGCAGCCCGGTCTGAATACAGTTTAGGGCGTATCCTGCTATCCCATACTGTTCCATAAGTCTGTTAAGTCACAGAGAAGTAAAAATTTTCGTTGAGACATCTAGTAGGATGATTCTTCGATAATTGTCGTAGTATATCCTATCACGCTTGAGAATTTGGAGCAGAATTGCTTTGCTCCAATCATCTGGTAATATTTCTTTTTTCAATACTAGAGAGTACATTTGTTGAAGATGCGTTTTGCAGGACGATGGATAAAATTTGAAGAATTCAGTGCCCGAAGACCATCTTCTCCCGGAGTCTCATTGGCCTTAAGCTTATGGATAATAGAGATTATTTTTTCTTCTGTCGGGGGCTCGCAAGCATATGCTTCGGCAAACGTATCAGTTACATTAGGGGCAATAGATTCATGGTTAAGTTTGGCCTCAAAGAATTCTTTCCATCTTATGAGGCGATTCTTAATATTTTTGATTAGTACTCCATTGCTGTCTTGCCATTTCACTGTTCCCCGAGTCATAGTTGCTTTATGAAGAAGGTAGAATAGTTTCCTATTGTCACCTAATCGAGCCGCTGTCTCCATTCTCAAGGCCATGTCACTCAAAGCACTTTTAAGTGAAATCTATCGTTTTTGTTAATAAATGTTTTTAACAAATTTGTTAACAAATGAATTAGCTGAAAATTATCAAAATTTCTTTAAGTTTCAAGTTGAGAATTGATTTTTAGAAATTTTCAGAGTCATGTGCAGTAATTTTTATTCGGGAGTAGAATGCCCGATAAGAGCAAACTTCTCATTGAAAGTCCTGGTAGTGGCAGCCCACCTCCCGTCACTATCCATAGTTAGTGGAATCAACGAAGTAAAAAACGGTATGGTCAGAAGGTAATCATTTAATTTCAAGGAATTTAAGCTCTAGTGCCATTTCCTCAATGATTTTATCTATTCATATTAGATTCTATTCTATAAATAATAATGTTCAATGTGATAGAATGGATAATGGACATCGAGAATATATTTGCTATACTGAAGTGTGAGAACAATGTTTTCTACTCAGTCAACTTTTAAATGATTCGCACTCCTTAAGCTTTCCAATCCGTTTATCATTTTATACGAAACATACTGGCATTAGTAATTTGATATTTGATATTGATGGAATCATAAATTAATATATAAATATTAAATGATGTTCGAACCATTTATTTGTTTACTTGCTTAACTTGTAAACAATGAAGGAAATTGTAATTTTCAAGGATATTTTGAATAACTATTTGTTGATTTTGTGTTCATTACTAGGAAAATAAGGCCATCATTGTTTAGATTTATAAACGAAATGCTCTAAAAACATATACCTAAATGTATATGTCTGTTGTATAGTATATTATTTCTGTATTGTTTTTCTTTTTTGCTTAACTGCATCCACTATTTCTGTTTGGCTAACTCCGTGTTAATGTAAGGGGTCAAAGAATTTCTTGCGAGATAAGTTTCTATTATATTGTTAAGATTTCACTTTTAATGACTTTTAATGACAAGTTTATTTCGGTGGAGTGGCAAAAATTAGGTCCATGGCCTCAGTTTTTAATCTTCTCATCTTAGTAAAAACAATCCACCATTCAATAAACTTTCCCTTAATCTATGTTTTAATGAGTAGGAAATAAGATAATGTACCGATAAATTGGAAATGATTCCAATGTTTCTGTTTTGTCATCTTATTGCTTTTTATCAGCAACCACAGTGACGATTTAATATCGATTATTGTTACTGGTCATTATGATCAAGTATTACTTGCTTAATTGGAGTATATTGGAGTATATTTTACCATCAAAAATCTGGACAGAAATGATGGTTATTTACCTATACTTTTTTATCCTTAAATGACACTATGGCTAAAGGGTTATGAATGGAACAAGTCAAACCCTTAGGACCCTTAGGTGCATTAAAAAAAAATTGCAAACCTATTTCATGATTTCGTTTCGTTTACTTGATTCAGCACTTATCTAATATTTGATGTCAATTTTGGTTCCTCTAAAAGTCCTCGCAGTTAGAAAAAAAATGCAGTGCCTAAAAAGTCGTTCACTTAAAACTGCCAGTGCATTTGTTAATTATGCAGAATTATTGAACGTAAGTAAAATTCACGTCGCAGAAATCCATCTCCTTTACATATTTCATCCAATATTTACATAACCTGTTATTGTTTCGTTTCAATCATTTGTTACACCATCGCTTTCCTTTGCGGCTTTCTTTTACTGCATCCTAGTTGATATAATTATTGCCTCCAACGGCTGCCTATCACAGCATATCAAGATTAGATTAACAATAATTTATTATTATTATTTGTATTTATAATTCTACTTTCTATTTTATAATTCTGATCGTTTTATGCAAAATTTTTTTGCTTAATTATGCTTGATTTTTGAATTCTTCAAGATTATGGAAATTTTTTTTTGCGATTTTTTTATGACTTTAAATTCGCCTTCGAATATATTCTAAAGTTTTTTTGACTAATTTCTACCGTGTTATTGTTTAGAAATTTTCAACTGCCACTGAGAATGAAAAATGATTCGAATCCAGCCGACATACCACGTTTCGTCCAACGGAATGCTGTCGAATGGGGAAAGCAAGAGGGGGTAGAATAGTAAAATGGCTCATTAGGTTATTGTACAGTTTGGAGCAGTGATATTGAAAGTTGAGCAGGAGTAAAGCTGGCAGTTATGAATCCGCGTGATGCTGGAAATTCATCTGCTCATTCATCACCAAGTGATTCGATGGCAAAATTTGTCTGGTTCGACAATCCAGCGAAACGAGTTTAACCAGTAATGGCGAGTGCTCTTATATAAAGAAAAGCTGGATTGGTTTATAAGATTTTGCGGTGTTAATTTTGAAAATAAATTATAAATTCTTTTAATCTGAATTTTTAACTGATCTGATATTTTGATATTTTGATTGATTCTTATGGTTTGGCTAGCGATTATTAATAACAGACAAACATTGGTTTGATTTGCAATGCAATACGTTATAGTACAGTACAGTTATAGTACAGTTATAGACGTGTCCTCAGCATTACGTTTTTAATGATATGGCCAAAGGTATGGACCGGGCCTATCGTATTTGATCAAAGCAACATAATGTTCTATTCTAATAAATTCCAGCAAATCATTGGCCATGTTCTATTTTGAATCACGATAAGACACTAAATGTGTTGAGGGCGATCATTTTTCAATAATTTTATTTTTACTTACTTCCAATATATTAAAGAATGAATAGACAGGATTAACGAATGTTCAGCTTAATAATCATACTAAAAATAGCAAAAAGCAAACGCCTCTTTAATTATAATGTCCTAAAAATCCTGCAAATTTCAATTCTACAGCATTTAATCGCGTAAATTGATTTGCTGTTATTAGCTGTTTCGTATTTATTATTCGTAGTTTTTAGATAATCTATTCGTTTTACATAAATTTTAGGTAATATCTGATGACTCGTGTATCCTATTATTTGAAAATAGGTTGATCTCCTTTGCTAGAAAAAAACATCCAGATTTTATGGTAATGTAATTAATTTTATAATTGTTAAATATTTGTTAAATATTATATTTCAATGTTACGTTCCTTAAATTAGATACGAGTGTTTAGTCCCCATCATACCTGGTTAGGCTCGCTTTGTTTGCCTATAGGATAAGGCACTTTCACCAGAGATTTACTTAAAAATGAAATTATTGATGGGCCTTTAGCGCCACCTTCTTAATTTTTACTATAGGGCAAAATTACCTTAAATAATCTAAGCCCGCTGGCGTTTCCCAAACTTTTAAATCACGAAATATTTTGAAATATTTGGAATATATTGCAAGTATTATTATGATGTGTATTGTTTGTAAAATATTTTTGAATGAAAAAGATTTATTTATTTGCATTTCGCCATCGGCGGTATAAACGGAAATATGAATATATTACTAGAGGACGTTATAGGAAAAAGTTAAGAGGTTTGCATAAAGGCTTAGCGCACAATATTGTATGTGATTGCTTGTGAATACTCGTGTATAATTTAAATACAATGTTAGATTACCTTTCATACTATTTGAAATATAAAAGATTTTACCTTTTACAATATTTTATAATATAATTTCCAAATACAATATTTTTTTTTTTAAATGGTAATTTTAATTAATTAGGAAATGCACTTTAGTAATTTTAAATCCTGGCTAGAATGGCCCAGTCGGTTGTCGCTCAGTTCGGTGCTGAGGTTCTACTCCTCACGAGGTTAAACCTGTCCAAAAATCCAAGTAATACTGGCGACTCACCTGTATTGCTATCACCAAGGAACTCCCTGGCATCTTTGTCTAGTGCTACAAGTCACTGGAGGGAATCTAACCAGTAATGGTGAGGAATTTTAAGAAAAAAATTTTAAATCCATTAAATTTCAGTCCTATATTCAGTACTATATTATATTCAGATATCTCCGATTTCTTCATTTCACTTATACTGGAATTGATTTTATTGAGAATTTGCATGTTATGTCGAAGACCGCTTTTTTTTAAATGCAAAAGTCAACTCCATTAAATATTTTTGGGCAGTTCATTATGATGCATTTTGAATGCAAGATTTTTTTTAAACTTAATGCATTATTGCTTTTAGTGCTATTTGCGTTATTTTAATAGGTAGATGATAAAGTAATCTAATAATCCTCGTCTTAAGCTTTGGTTGCTTTTCCTGACTGTAGGAATAGAACACTATCATCAGAAAGACGAGACGCAAACTTAGGGATAGGAGGAATTTGATTTCATTTTTCATTTTTCATAAGATGGTTTAGGCGATGACGATAGAGCCCAAAATGCTTGAATTTCGGCAGAACAATATACCTTCATTCCATGACCATAACTTTGTATTTCTGGACTTCGTTAACTTTGTTAACTTTTCTCCACTTTTATTCCCATTTGAGTAGGGACAGTGGATGAATTAAACTGATTCTTGAAAACCATCATCTATTCCAACGTTAAGTTTAATAAACTAATAAAGTAAATTTCAAATTAAAGACTTTCGATGGTGCAAAGAACTGTGGTCTAAATAAACCAATTGACGATTTAAAATAGCACTTTTCTAAATACCTAGTGAATTATTGAAATGTTTCTTGCTTCAAGTAGCTCACATTCATTTCTTTCCATTTCATTAGCTCTTACCTTGTTAACAATGTTATTCATTTTGATAATGGAAATTTTTTGTAGTTTTTTAAAATATCTATTTTGAAATTTAAGTGTCCTAAATTTATGGTGAAAAATAAATTAGTACATTATCCTGATAGAAATAAACCTATCATCAAAGAATCTGATAATCTTCCTACCTCTATCTTCAAATCTTGAGAAAAATTTTTAAGCATTTTCATAATTTTTTAAGCATCAAATTTTTATTTCCGTTGCTCAACCAAAGTGATAATCACTTGTTCACGTTGTCTAATCTTTTCTGAATAATTTAAAAAATAAAAATAACCGAGAGTAGGATGGTTCTCTCAGATTAATCCGATGATAGAATTCT